TATTGAGCACCTGCAAGCTTGAATTAAGGCTTTGTGGCACAAGGCAACGACTCTGGACTGGGAGGATAGAAGATCAAAGTTCAAATTCTTCTTTTGCCATGATTCTTCCTCAGTGTGGGTCACGTTATGTCTAATGTTCCTTCCAGCTTTAATGTTCAGCGGTTCTACTATTCAGCAGCACCTGGGGAGATAGAGCTGTGTACAGTGCCGCCCACAGGTATACAAGGGAAGATAAGACTGATAAGCATATGATTAACCTTCTGAGTGATGATGGTAGGACTAGACACTGTCTTTTCAGTTTCAATACTATTTGATTTTGAAAAAGTATTTTGTTTTAGTATATTACTTTCAAGGTAAAGACAAAGCAAGTCTATACATGGTCTCATTCTAATTTACAGGGTACTAGAATTATGCCTCATTCATCCAAATATTCAAGCAGTCATTCCCTCAACAAGCATTTAAAACCTATTGAGTATTAGGCATACTCAATAGCATTTATTGAGCAAATCTAGGTAGAGAAAGAGCTTGGTAAAAAGTTAAAAAAAGAGCCCCGCCTGTGTGGCTGAGTGGATTGAGCATCCTCCCATGGCTGAGAGGTCCCGGTTCAATTCCCAGTCAGGGCACATGCCCAGGGTTTCGGGCTCGATCCCCAGGAGGGGGTGTGCAGGAGGCAGCTGATCGATGTTTCTCTCTCACATTGATGTTTCTATCTTTCTCTCTAAAAAATCAATAAAACATATTTAAAACAAAAAAGTAAAGAAAAAGAAAAAGAAGGTATTTCTAGACTTTACATGTTGCTTTTTAAGAGTGTACAACAATCTTGTAAGGTGTTGTTGCCCCCCTTTTTTCATATTATAAAACTAAAACTTGAGCCCTGGCTGGTTTGGCTCAGAGGTTAGAGCATTGGCCCATGAACCAAAGAGATGTGGGTTCGAGTGTGGCCAAGGGCACGTACTTCGGTTGCGGTTCGTCCCCGGCTCTGGTTGGGGTTGTTCGAGAAGCAACCAACAACAAATGTGTCTCTCTCACATTGATGTTTCTCTCTCTCTCTCCTCCCCTACCTCCCTCCCTCCCACTCTATCTGAAGATAAATGGAAAAATATCCTCAGGTGAGGATTAAAAAAAACTAAACTAAAACTTGAAGCAGTTCGATCACTTGTTCAAGGTGGCTCACTTGGTAAAACAATGAGCCCAGTATTCAAATCTGAGTCTGCTGGACTTTTTGTCTCATCACACAGAATCCTTTGAGAGCTATCACAGGCTAGTAGAAGCATAGGACAGTGTGTGCGCATTATTAACTACCCTAAAAGAGTCCAGCATGGACTGACCAGTGATACAGATTACAGGCCAGCAAACATTTTCTGTAAAGGGCCAGATAGTAAATAGATCATTGCAGTGTCTGTGGCAACTGCTCAGTTCTGCTCTTGTAGCACAAAAGCAGCCATTGATAATATATAAATGAACAGTGTGAATGTGTTCTAATAGACTTTATTTACGGACACTGAAATTTAAATTTCACATAATTTTCACCTGTCACAAAATATTCTTCTTCTTTTGACATCCCTCTCTCAATCATTAGAAAATGTAAAAACCATTCTTAGCTTGATTGCTGTACAAAAACAAGAAGCAGGTTGTATTTGATCTGTGGGCTTGTGTTAGTCAGTTTGGGCTTGTGATATTGTGATTTATAATAAAAAATATATATTAGGTCTTTGACCTCATTCCTGGCACAGAGTTCCTAAAACCCTTGCAATCCCCTTCTCTTAAGAGAGAGGAGAGGGACTGGAAATTGAATCAATTACCACCAATAGCCAATGATTTAATCAATCATGCTTATATAATAGAGCCAGGTTGGGAGAGTGGCTACTTGGAGAGGGCATGGAAGCTCTGCACCCCTTCCCACATACCTTGCCCGGTGAGGCTCTTCCAACTGGCTGTTCTTAGAAGACAGGGACTTTTTATACTCATCTTTATATGTTTTATCCTGTCTCATTGTAGTTGCTACATATCTATCTATATATCTATACCTATATCTCTTTTAGTAAACCACTTTAGCAAACTATTGGCCATTCCTGCTTGTTCCCTGTGGTATTTCAGTTTGCAACCCCAATAAGTGACCATTACATTCATGTCCAAGACATAAGATAATCAGGGTGATTTCTTAACCACCCACTACACCAGCCTCCTAAACACTATCTTTAAGATAGAAGAACTGCTGCCCTAGCCAGTTTGGCTCAGTGGTTAGAGCATTGGCCTGTGGACTGGAGAGTCCTGGGTTTGGTTCCTGCTAAGGGCATGTACTTCGGTTGCAGTTTGTCCCTGGCCCCAGTTGGGATCGTGTGGTTGGCAACCACTCGATGTGTCTCTCTCACATTGATGTTTCTCTCTCTCTCTTCCTCCCTCTCTCCTTCCGATTCTATATGAAGATAAATGCAAAAGTGTCCTTGAGTGAGGATTAAAAAAAAAGATAGAGGAACTGCTGGTTCAGGCCCCCAAACTCCAATTTGCCCTCAGTAACAATCCTTGCATCCACCAAGGCATTTCCTTGCCTTCTGAGACCTTAGCATTCAATCTTCTTGGTATTTTCTTAAAAATATATATATTTTTTCTTTATTGATTTTTAGAGAGAGAGAAAGGGAGAGGGAGAAAGAGAAACATCAATGAACTGGCAATCATGGGTCCACACTCAACTGTTGAGCCACACCAGCAGGGGCCCTCCTGGTATTTTCTATCATCTCACTCTCCACAGTTTGCATAGGCTTTGCTATACTTTACATGTTCTTCACATTTTTATGTATGTATGTATGTATGTATTTATTTTGGTATGTGCCCCTAGCGGGAACCGAACCAGTGACTCTCTGGTCCGCAGGCCCACACTCCAACCGCTGAGCCACACGGGCCAGGGCACTGTTCTTCACATTTTTAATTTAACAGTCTAAGCAGAACTTTTCTTATCTTGCTTACAGACCTCCCTCCAAGAGGAAGAAGACCCTAGACAAGAGAAAGCAAGGAGTTGGATTTTGGTATTTAAACTGGGGAACCCTGGTCAATTCCCAGAGACACCAGGGCCTGAGTTTGGAGGGGTATTGGAAGCCAACGACCCCACGTGACCCCAGGGACCAGGGGGCTGGGCCGACCCCGCCCCTCTGCCGGCAGCCGCCAGGGGACGCATGCGCAGCCCATATTAGTGATGGAGGAGAGAAGATGGCGGAAGCGGAGTGAGTGACTTGCTGGTGACTAATGTCGTAACCGGGGGGCGAGTGGGGGCAGCGACACGTCCTCCAAGGGGAAAGCTCAGGGTTCTTTCGCTGGCAGTGCGGGGAAAGGGAGACTCGAGAGCGTCCTTCCCCTGGAGGAGCCCGCTGGGCCCGTGTCGGGGGGTGGAGGCGACCTGTAAGGGTCCAGTTACCTCCAGGCGGGAGCGCCTCTTCCGCCAGCTGGTCCTGGATCAGCGGGGCCCTGCACTTAGGTCACTGGGGTCTTCCGAGGGATGACGCGCTGTGGGCCTCCCAGGCGCTGTCATCCCTGCAAGTGGGCCCCGAAGGCAGCCTCGTGACGGCTGCCGGCCCGGGCCCGAGGATGCTGGCTGGGGCTGGGGGCGGGCGCTGCCAGGCCTCCTTTGCGCTCCCCTCTTTCCCGCTCCAGTGCCACCCCACTCCACCTCTGGGAAAACTCGAGATGTGGGGCTGCTTAGCGCCCTCCCCCCGGAGCCCTGGAGGAGGTGTCCCAGCGCCGGCCTTGCGGCGGCGGGGGCTTCTGTGGGTCTGGCCAGGCTGAAAACCCCCTGGCAGGGAAGATCCGCTTTCCCTCGGGTTTCCGAGGCAGTGTTGATGCCTCCCGGGCGGGCCACATTCTTGTGTGGCGGTGTGATGGCACGCTCAGTTAGAGACGCAAACTTAGTATTTACTGAGTAGGCCTCTTGGGCACCAGGACTGCCGGCTGTGTTTTGCAGACATTGCTATGCAGAGACGGTGGAGTTACAAAAATTGTTCTTTTGTGCCAGGTCTTTAAATGCATTTTAGTGGTTTGGCCGGTTCCACTCACCGATGGTTGGAATTGTGCCTACAATTTGGATTCTCTGTGACCATTTTTGGTTAGTCACTGAACTGGATTGCGGGTATGGTTGAGCACTCTAAAGGGACCAGAATTTGCCCAGCTGGTGTGGCTCAGTGTTTGAGCATCGACCCATGCACCAAGAGGTTGCCCGTTGGATTCCTGGTCAGGACACATGCCCAGGTTGTGGGCCAGATCCCCGTGGGGGGCATGCAGGAGGCAGACAGTCAATGTTTTCTCTCATAGATGATTCTGTTTCTCTCTCCCTCTCACTTCCTCTCTCTCTAAAATCAATAAGAAAAATAAATAAAGGGACCAGAATTTAAGCTGGCCTTTTTGCATATCACTTGTAATGGGTTCACAAGTGTTATGACAGGCAGTACTTTGGAAAAAGTTTACCTTATACACCACTAAATCTGTAAGATGTTGAACAGGTACCATAAGATTTGATTTGATGATTGGAAGGCAGTTTGAAAAACTATTTGAAAAACCAACAGAGAAGTGTAATCTGAGTCATTTACTAAAAAAAAGTTAGTGTAGTGAGCTCCTCCCCCCCACTTTTTTTCTTTCACTTTTCCACTTATTAAATTGAGACTTTAAAAAAAAAGCACATTTGATAGCTTGAAGAGTATATGAATATTATTTACATAAATGATATAAAGAACAAAGAAAACGTGTACATAAAAGGATACTATATGACCCTGGCTTGTTTGGCTCAGTGGTTAGGGCGTGTCCTGTGGACTGAAGAGTCTCGGGTTTTATTCTGGTCATGGGCATGGGGTCATGTAGGAGGCAACCAATTGATGTGTCTCTCTCACCTCAATGTTTCTCTCTCTCTCTTTCTCCCTCCCACTCTATCTGAAGATAAATGGAAAAATGTCCTCTGGTGAGGATTTTAAAAAAAGGACACCATATGGGAACATTGTATGTGTACACAGCTAGTGCCAAATTCCTTTGTCTTTTCCTGAAGTAGAAAGTGTTCTTGTTACAGTCTTGTCAGTGCTGCTAATGTGAGGTGGGCCAGCTTTTGTTTCTCAGAAGAAAAGACAGGTAAGAAGGGCAGATAAAACCAGTATATTTGCTGTGCTTTTTCACCATTGTGGTGCATTTCTCACCCTATACAAAAACTACTTATAATTCTAGTTTATAACAATATTGAAGCCCTTACTGTTGACTTAAAATAATTGAATTTATTCAGATACAAATTCTGTACTTAGTAGAATTTTATACAACAGTGAAGTGAGTTTGTAATATTAAAGGGGAAAAAAATCAGAAAGTCTTGTACTAAAATGTACTTTACTGCCCACCTGAGGAAAGTGACATAATTATGCTATTTTCAAAATTTGGAACAGTTCTTTGTGAAAAAGAGATTTTGGTAAGGAAGTGGGGGAATTGTTGTCAGCTCTTCTCTACCCAGTCAGAGTACTCCTTATAGGTATAACTCATTATACTTATTAGATGTAGTAAGGACAGTGTTGTAGACTAATTAGGGAAAAAGCCAGTGTGATTTTTTTTTATTAACTTATTTTCTAAAATAAGTTACTTTTAAAGCAAGTATACATGGTAGCCAGAAACTAAGGTAATTATCACAAGCCCTTAGGCATCCTATTTTATGTATAGATAAGAACGACTTTAACTTGTAATTAGTATGGTCAAAAGAACGTAAATATATATTTTAAAGTACTCTGATGTTGCTTGAGTTTTCATTTTCCTAGGTAGTTTAGTATTCACTCATCACTTGGTTTCAAAACACTCATCTTCTTTCAATAATGAAAAGATAAACTTTAGTCCAGGCTTTATCTGAATTAAATATCCTGAAAATTTTGAATTCATATTTAGTTGGTATTAAGTATTAAACATGCTATATGTTTGTGAAGTACTTTTTCTAAGTGTTTATGGTGACTGTGTGCTATCTGTGTTTTGAGGATCTTCTTAGAAACTTAGACTATTGATTATTTTTTGGAATTATTAAATATTCTTTAAAACCCATAAGATAATGCTTTTGCCAGTACAAACCCTTTGTGTTATCTGCCAGATTCAAGGACCACAGTACAGCTATGGATAGTGAACCAAACCCTGGAACATCTTCTGGGTCGACAACAACCAGTAGCACCACCACGACCACCATCACCACTTCCTCCTCTCGAATGCAGCCACCACAGATCTCTGTCTACAGTGGCTCAGACCGACATGCTGTACAGGTATTTTAGTTATAATGATGGGTAGGCTAAGACTTAGGATGTCATTATTTTTTGCTTATGCCAAATAAATTTGTTGTTTCATATCCAATGAATTATATGATATCCTCTAAATAAGTACAGTTAGAATTGTTAATGTTTGAAACAACCAAGAAGTTATTTAATAATCATTCTATTGAGAGGGCTTACACTTGTCAGAGTGTAGCTTATAAAATATGTAAGGAAAATTATAATTGGAAGGTCTCTAGCTGCTATTGCAATGTGGAGATAATCTAGAGCCCCAACATGCAGAATGGCTCTAGGTTTTTTGGGTTATTTTATATTTGAACCCATAATATAGACTTAGGGAGATCTTTTCAGGTCTGTAGATGTATTAAGAGGTTCAATTGAAACCTATGTGGTTTAAGAACCCTAAGCAGAAGAATTTGTTCTAAACCTCTTTGGGCAGAGGTAGAAAGGAATATTTGACTAGGAAAAATCTTAGGCTCTTTACTTAGTTGAGAAAATTAAGTTTACTTGGTTAACCTTTATAAAAATGGAAATTGAGGCAATGTGGTATTGCATAGAAAGGACATGGGTATTGCAGTCTGATATGCTCTTTGTTTGAATTTTATTTTCTTTATCATTAGTAGCTATGTAGTCTTGGGTAGGAGGCATAATAGCCTCAGGAAACTATAAAATGAGGATGAGACCACCTACTTCAGTAGTTATTATGAGGATTAAAGGAAACATCTAGAACTGTGTGGGCACATTAGATGTACCCAGTAAGTAATCATAGCTAACATTTATTGAACAGTTTCTGTGGACCAAGCATTTGATAAATGTTTGCATGGATTATTAGATACTGTCATTATCTCCACTTTACAAATGGAAAAACTGATGTTTTAAGTAGGCTAAATAACTTTCCTAAACTCACAAAGCTCCAGTAGGTACTCTGATTTTAGAGTTGTTCCCTTAACCACTCTGTGAGTTCTTATTTTTTCCATTATACTTGCTTATTCTGTCTAAAATACCCATAATTGCATTCTTCCTTGAAAATAACTTTGCAATATAGTCCTCTCCCTGTTCATTTTTCTAGAGTGGATATTCCAGTATAATGGCTCTTTAACTGTTGTATGGTTTAAGATTCTGAAGTTACCCTGGGTGGAATCAGAATTGTTGGAGACCCAGCCAGTTCAAAAATTCAAACTGGAATGCAGACTGTGTTTTTAATATTCTTCATCTTTCTCTGAGGCAAGGGATATAGGAAAGAGTATCTAGGTCTTTGAACATATAGATTATGTGATATTTTAATATGCCTTTCGTTCTCCAGTTTTTAGCTAAGTTGGATGTGTTAATAAAAAATAGTGTTATATACAGCATAGGAAATATAGTTCATAATATCATAACTTTGTAGGGTGATGGAAGATTACTAGACTTGTAGTGGTGATCACTTTGTTAGGTATATAGATGTTGGATCACTATGTTGTACACCTGAAAGTGATATGTTATTGTATCTCAACTATATTTTAATAACACATTTTAAAAAAGTGTTACTGGAGCTATATAGATAGAGATATATTTCACAAATAGCACTAACACTAGTTTGTGTGATATCATAGAATTGATTCCCCTGCAGTACATTCAAATCAATATTTATTGAACTACCTAAGTAGTTCTTTAATACCTTCCAGCTTTCTTTTTCAGTCCTGCGAATGTTCTTTATCATCCTTTTCCTTTAACAAAGTAAGAACAATGTGCTCTGTCTTTAACTTGTATTTAATAATATTTCTCTTCCATGAGTATAGAATTAAATGGTAATGAAAGACTATGTTGACAATAGGAAAATTATTATACTCTAACAAAAGTATCTGTCAAATAGATTATTCATTTGTTATGGAATTAGAAAAACATATATATAGATTTACCTGACCAAAAGATATACTGTTATAATCCTAAATTACTTAAAGCTGGTCTGTAGTCTCCTGCAACTAGGGGTCAAAAACCTACATTGATATTGTGACAGGAGTTTGTAGCAGGTTTAGCAATCTGTAGCTGGAGAGATGAGATATGAACATGTGAAAGTAAACAACACAAGGAAATATCTTTCTTGGAATTTGGATAAAGAGATCATGATGTTGTGGTTCAAGGTGTCCTGACTCAGATCCTAAATCTGTAAGATATGTATCTCTGTTACTCCCTTAGCTCTTTGAAAACTCTGTGGTGTGATGCTGCTGTTAGGGTTCTGTGCTGTTTCAGTGTTACCATGGGCAAGATATGACTTTGGAATGTGTTGCAGAGGACTGGCATAGTCTGACTTACTGGTTTGGACAGATAAAGAATTTTTCTCTGTTACAGTTGGCCCTCGTTTATCGCAGTTAATCAGTTCCAGACTCTACTGCGATAAATGAATTTACGCGAAGTAGGATTCTTTATTTATAAATCGAATATTTTCACAGTTAGAGCATAGAAAACCTGTTTACGACCTTCTAAATACATTTTTTAACATTATTAGAGCCCTCCAGACATGAAATAACACCTTTTAGTCTCCATTACACTTGTATTACCCAATATATTAGACAAAATAAGAGAAAATAAGACATTAGACATTACAAATATCATTATTATTGTACATTTAATTACACATTCTTACACACGACCTCTAACCTGTGAAAAGAGTGCCACTTGTTCAATGATGAAGCGATGAAGATGAAGAGATGTACTGCACAGCAAAGAAGAGCAAGTTACTTCTCCTCTGAAGGCACGACCTCAGGAGAGTCTTCAGGTGGTGCAGTATCTTCAGCAGCTGCGTCATCGTCTTCCGCTGGAGGAGCACTAGGAGGAGGCTGTGGGTGTCTGGGTGCGCAGCTGAAGAACATTGTGACAGGCAGTTGCTGGCGCTGTCTTTTCATATGCGTGAGGAGGCTTTTGTAGGATTCTGTCGTTTCATCAAGTGTATTCTGGAACCGTAATGCACGCATCATTTGTGGGTCCCATTCGTCAGTCATGTCCTGTACTACCTTAATAGTTCTCACGACTTGAGAGAGACAATCAAGTGTAAGGCCAGCTTCCTCCTCCTGACCCCCAGGAACCTCTGGCTGCTCTTCCTCTTCCTCACTTGCAAACTTAGTCATCTGAACCAGATCCTTGTCAGTTAAGGGATCTGAATGTGTCTACAGCAGCTCATCCACGTCATCATGGGTCATAGCCACGAAACCTTCTCCTGCTAGCATCCGGGCTAGCCTAACTGCCTTATCCACTGCCAAGTTGCTTATATCCTCTGGGGTGAATCCTCTGAAGTCGTGGACAATTTCAGGCCACAACATCTTCCAGCTGACCTTCATGGTCTCCATCTTTATGTTTTTCAACGCAGCCTAGATGTTCTCAGACAGGTCGCGATGGTATACTGCCACCACTACTCCTTCAGCAAGAAGTTCTCCTCAAGGTCCGTGCCTTCAGCGAGGTGCTGCGGGGTGTTTCGTGTGTAGAGGGCCTTGAATGCGTGAATAACGCCTTGGTCCATGTGCTGGATCAGCGAAGTGGTGTTGGGAGGAACTCCATCCGCACACCTTCGTAGGATAGGTCTTGCGCATGACCTCCAGCATTGTCCATGAGGAGAAGGACATTAAACTTGAATCCCTTCTCTGCAAGATACAGCTTGACTTGAGGGATGAAGCATTCGTGGAACCAGTCCAATGACAGCTTCTTTGTGATCTAGCCCTTGTCATTGTGCATATAATGCACTGGCAGCAGGTTTTTGTTTTTATTCTTTAGTGCCCTAGGGTTCTTGGCCTTGTAGATAAGGGCAGGCTTGAGCAAAAATCCCTCAACATTTCCACACGTAATGATAGTCATACGATCCTTATACGCCTTGAAGCCACGGACCTTGGCCTCATCCTTGGAAATGAATGTCTGGGAAGGCATTTTTTTTCCAGAACAGTCCTTTTTCATCCATATTGAATGTTTGTTTTGGATGAGACTCGCCCTCCTCAAGGATCTTGTGGAACATGTTGTTCTCTTAGTCCTCTGCTACAGGCTGGTCAACAAAGGTAGGTTCTCCGTGGAGAACGACACTCTTCAGATGATACCTTTTCTAGAACTTCTTGAACCAGCCCTTGCTTGCCGTGAAATCCATGAACATTGCAGAAGAGGGTCCTGGTTGAAGTTCGTCCACCATAAAGCACTGATAGAGCTGCCTCGTGTTCTCCCGGGATGACCAGCGAATCCAACGGAATGGTTTTCTTGCGGCTGTTGCTGATCCAAAAAGCTAGGGCTGACTTCATTTTCACTATGAACTTATTTTGACCTGTCATGACACGCTTTGCTTCCTTGTTGAAAGAGACAGTAGCCGTTGCACAGATGTTCTTTTCATCTTTATGGATGGAGCGAACGGTAGACTCATTCAAGTCGTAATGGTGGGTAACCTCCATGATTTTCTTGCCATCTTTGATCATATCCAAGAGTTTCACCTTCTCCTGGATGGTAAGCATCTTCCTCTGGCGCTTAGTTTTGTCATCAGAAGGCTTTGAAGAAGCAGCATGTTTAGGAGCCATCATGAGGCTTAGATGAAAGTTCACATAAATCGCAAACACAAGAGCAAAGATGCTTCCGGTGCATAGTGATGTAGAAGGGTGTATGAGAGAAATGAACTTGCATGAGGCTGAGCCAATCAATGGCCAGGATGGGAAGAGGATAGGATAGCCAATATGTGAACAGCATGCTCTGATTGGCTTAGTTTCACCACACTTGATATTTTGGAAAAAAATTATTGCCCACACACAAGGAATGGTTGAACGGTTGCACCTGGCATTGGAGGATTTGCAGGGGTGCTCAAATACATAGGCCTACAGTCCATACGTATAGTAATTTTAATTGTAATTGTAATACAGGAGTGAATAATTGACTCAGACAATCGAGCATGCACTGTATCATTTTTACTGTCTTGATCAACTTTTTAATGAATATATTTGAAAAAAACCTCCATAGAGTGAAGCCGCAAAGTCAAAGCACAAAGTGGTGAGGGATGACTGTATTAGAATATTTGAAACAATTGAAACAAGGAATCAGACATTTAAAAAACATTTTTAAATGTTTGAAAAATTATATTTGAAAAGTAATGAGTAATTTTCTAAAAGTAAATTGCTTTATAATTTTATGTGATTATTAATATGACACCTATTCATTATAAACTTTTTCAGACATTTAAAGAGAAGTACAATCAATAGGCTAAAAATATCACCTCTAATTCAGTTACCCGTTGGTATAGTCTTTCAATGTTTTCCTGAATATTCTTTCAAACTTTTTAACATAAAAAGACATTTTTCTGACCCTGGCCGGTTTGGTTCAGTGGTTAGAGATGTTTGCCCACAGACCAATGAGTCGTGGGTTCGATTCCAAATCAAGGTCATGTACCTCAGTTGTAGTTTGTCCCTGGCCCTGGTCAGGATCCTGTAGGAGGCGGCCAGTTGATGTGTCTCTCTCACATTGATGTTTCTCTCTCTCCCTCTCTCTCCCCCCATCCTTCCCACTCTATCTGAAGATAAGTAATAAAAATACCCTCAGGTGAGGATTTTTTTTTTAAAGGCATATTTCTCTATATACTATTTAGTAACTTGCTTTTTTCACCTTATAATATATTTCAGAATTCTTTTAGTACAGTAGTTACTAGCTGTATGTGGCTATTTATATGTAAATTAAAATTGAATAAAATTATAAAGTTAATTCCTTAGCTGTACTAGCCACATTGTAAGTGCTTACGAGACACATGTGGGTAGTGGCTACTATGTTGGACAGCACTGATCTGCATTACTATTTATAATGGCTATAGGGTTATACATACTCCTCTCTATACCCCAGCCTTGAATTCTACCATGTTTTATTTAAAACGCCTATACCAATTTACATTCTTATGACCATTTATGAGAGTACCTTTTTCCTCAGTTGATAGTAGTATTCTTTTAAATCTTTATCCATCTGAAAGTTGGAAAATAGTATTCTGTTTTAATTTGTAAGTTTTATCTACTAATGAAACTGAAGATTTTTTGAAATGCTTGTTTAGACCTTTTTCTTTTGTGAATTGACTATACTGGGTAATTTGTACGGGTTTAATTTGTATAATCCTAGTGATATGTAATTAGGAAAGAACTATATTAATAAGCTTGATGATGTTTAATATTAAAGCAGTGAAATTTTAAACTGTCACTTTTTTAATACTTTATTTATGGTTAAGATTAAGGTTATGGCCCTGGCCAGTTTGGCTCAGCGGTTAGAGCGTCGGCCTGCAGTCTGGAGAGACCCGGGTTTGGTTCCCGCTAAGGGCACGTACTTCGGTTGCAGTTTGTCCCCAGCCCTGGTTGGTCGTGCGGGTGGCAGCCACTCGATGTGTCCCTTCACGTCGATGTTTCTCTCTCTCTCCCTTCCTCTCTCTCCCTCCCACTCTATCTATACAAAAAATGGAAAAATATCCTCGGGTGAGGATAAAAAAAAAAAAGATTAAGGTTATGGCCCAGCCTGTATGGCTCAGTGGTTGAGCGTCGCCGTTTCGATTCCCAGTCAGGGCACATGCCCACGTTGTGGGCCAAATCCCCAGTGGGGAGCATGCAGGAGGTGGCCAGTCGATGTTCTCTCTCATCAATGTTTGTCTCTCTCCCTCCCCCTCCCTCTCTCTTTAAAATCAATAAAGAAAAAAAATTAGCCCTGGCTGATTTGGCTCAGCGATTAAGAGTGTCAGTCCATGGAACAGAGGGTCCTCGGTTCAGTTCCTGCTAAGGGCTTGTACCTTGGTTGCAGTTTGTCCCCGGCCCTGGTTGGGGTCGTGTGGGTGGCAACCATTCCATGTGTCTCTCTCACATCAATGTTTCTCTTTCTCTTCCTCTCTTCTCCCCTCCCCCTCTATCTGAAGATAAATGCAAAAATGTCCTCGGTGAGGATTAAAAAAAAAAATTAAAAAATTAAAAAAAAAAAGATTAGGGTTACAATTATGGTCTGACGTTGGTTCAATTGATTTATCACAGGTAATTCAACAGGCATTGCATCGCCCCCCGAGCTCAGCCGCTCAGTACCTTCAGCAAATGTATGCAGCTCAACAGCAGCACTTAATGCTGCACACTGCAGCTCTTCAGCAGCAGCACTTAAGCAGCTCCCAGCTTCAGAGCCTTGCTGCCGTTCAGGTGAGACTGAAAACAATGAAGAATGAGGCCAAAGTTGACATTATTTGCAGATAATTGTGGGAAATAAATAAGTTGGGTATTATTTCAGAGTTCTCAGATGTATTGTGATGATTTTTTCTTAGGGAAATGTAATGGCTGCCAAATAGAAGTTAATTAAAAAAAAAAAATGGTATGTTTTATATGTTACTCTGTTGCTAACTTTTTGTCCCACTGCTTTTTATATTTCAGAAATGCTATGCTAGTATCATGATTTTGTGTGTAAAATTCTAGGTACAACAGTGAATACTTAGGGTTACATGAATTATATTTACATTTTAATAAAAAAAGGGTATTTTTTCAGTATGCAAGTAATTTACACTATTAAAAAATATCAAACAGTATAAAATTGTTTATAAGCAGTAAAGTAGAAGTATTTCTTTCCTACACCCACTGCTGTTTTCCACGTTTCAGAGTTGGCTACTATACGAGTTTTAATATGTATCCTTCCGGAAATTTTCAGTATAAAAATATGCATATGTACTTTCTAAAATCTAATCATACTGTTTCTACTGATAACAGGATTATTTTATGATTAAATGCCTATGTTTTAAAAAAAATTCATTATTATTCTGTTTATTTAAATAAAACTGTGTGAAATTTAATCTTAAATCTTACCAGAGGAGGATCTCAGTTAACAGAACCTGAAAAAGTTTTATTTCTATTGTAGTCACATCCCCAGTTGTTGCTTTTTCTTGGTAGTGTAATTTTAAATAACATCCTGTTCATGATATGATTTAGGAAACTGAAACCCACTGGCACTTGATATAGCTTCAGTTTCTTTTTTGTAACGTTGGACTGGTGATTCCACTTCAAAGACAACAGAGGCCTGTAGAGTAAAATTAACAATGAGTGCAGCTATTAAAATAATATTACCCTTTGGGTCCTCTGTTTCCACCATTCAGTTTTTTCTTAATCTGTTTGGCCAGAATTAATCCATATTGACTGTGAAATGAATTGAGTCATACATAGACATTTTAACTTTTATTGCTGTTTTGTGGTAGCCTGATACCAGAAAGTTTTTAACTTCAGGTTTTTCTAGACATATTGTAAAGATCTTATTATTTTAGGCAAGTTTGTCCAGTGGAAGACCATCTACATCCCCCACAGGAAGTGTCACACAACAGTCAAGTATGTCCCAGACATCTGTAAGTGCCCTAAATTTTTTCCTGGATTTAAAAATTTTAATTATTGCTTTTCAAAAGTAAACTTTTAATATTTGCAAAGCTGTTAATTGTATATTTGTGGAAATGCTGTTTAAGTAACTAGTACCTAGAAATAAGAATTGTAAGATTCAAGAACTCAGAACTAATGTTAAACTTCTGAAAATCTGAGTCTTAAAAATATTTTTGTATTACTTTTTATACATGTTTTCCCATGGATTGTATTCAGATCTTTTGTGATTCTAAATGATTGTAGTTTTCAGTATGTATCGAAAGCCTGAAGTATGTAATCCAGGGCTATTAGGCCATGCATTTACTGTGATATGTCATATCGTTGTTAGACATCTAAATGTTTCTAGCTTTTTCTGTGAAATTCACATTTTAGAAATTATACTTTTCAGCTTACACTTACTTGAGTTATTTGGGTCAAATTTACTATTATCCACTCAAGGTAGTGTAATTTCTTTTGAGAAAGGTGCCAAAGAAAGCTGGTTTGCTCTATTACATATATAATATACTGGGAAATTGTGCAAAGTTTCCTGGCTAAAAGAAATTGACAGGCATGGCAATACTTGTTTAACTTTTTATTTTGATACAATTTCAAATTGCAAGAATAAAAAATTTACTCAGATTTACCAGTTAGCATTTTGACTCATTGCATTATCATTCAGTTTTCTCTCTCTACATATTTATATATTCTCTTTTTTTGAATCATTTGTGGGTAAGTTGAGACATGTTTCTTTACTCCCAAATATTTTGATATATATTTACTAGAAACAAAGTCGTTCCTTTATGAAGCCACATGAAAATGATCAAATTCAATAAACTTAACATTGCTTCAATGTAGCGTATATTAAAATTTCATCAGTTGTCCTAGAGTTCTCAATCTCATCACTGTGTTTTGGACTAGATAATTCTTTTTTTTTTTTTAAACATTTTTATTTATTAATTTTAGAGAGAGAGAGGAAAAGGGAAAGAAAAACATTGATTCATTGTTCTACTTATTTATGCATTCATTGGTTGATTCTTGTATGCACCCTGACCAGGAATTGAACCTGGCATATCAGGACAGTGCTCTTTTTACCAACTGAGCTACCCTGCCAGGGATGGACCAGATAATTCTTTGTTTTGAGGGCTGTCTTGTACATTATAGAATGTTGAGTAGTATCCTTAGCTTCTATCCACTTAAATATCAGTGGACTGTCGCCCTCCTCCTTCCCCCATTGTGACAGCCAAAAATGTCTCTAGGCACTGCTTAATGTTTCTAGGGACAAAATTGTCCCTGGTTGAGAACCATTGAATTAACCTTATAATGTCCTTTTTAGCTATTTTCCCATGATCCAGTGTGGTAATACTTTGATGCTTTGTAAAATTAACTACAATAGGTTGTAGATCGCCAAGAATTGAAGGTAAACTTGTGCTATACTTCTTCAGCTAAGGGAAGTATCCTGGAACATAAATAAAATTAGTTAAAAAAGAAGTTACTTATTACTTGAAAATATTAGACTGAAGAAAATGAAAAATCTAAGTAATATAATATGGCCCTAAGCATTGATACTATAGTTAAGGCTTCTTGATGTTAGATATTGTCTTTAATTAATATAGTGGTAATTAAGGAAAGGGCTAGTAAACATTTTGTGGGCTGGTTAAAAACCTTATAGACAAATTCTTCCATGAAATACTGGGATAACATTAGACAACATAGAGATAAATGTTTTTTAAAAATTTCCCCTTTACAAGGTATCCTTTTAAACTATTTTTCTCTCATTATGATTTTATGTATGTGACTTTCACAGAAATTACAATTCCAGTGATTGTGCTTAATTTTTATGACATTAGTGCTACTTATCATAAATCAGGCAGCCTTGTGAGATGAAGTTTGCCAGAACCTGTGAGTGGCTGGTGAGGAAAAAGAAGTAGGTACGTAGGGAGAATGGATATCCAGGGAGAAAAAAGGAATAATATATCATGTTTGTTTTATTTTCTATCCCAATTGAGCCATAGCTCATGTCAGTTGACTAGAAGTTCAAATTATGATACCCAAGTTTGCTTAGTAAATTTAGGTCAAGCTCCAAAAGAGGGGCAGAGCATGGTAGCAGAAATCTGTAGGTAGTGACCATAATGATCTGTCAGGTGGCAGTCTAGCAATTTTGCAGTGTGTATGAAAAATTAAACTGTGCATGCCCTTTCACATGGCACTCTCAGATTTAGTGATGCCACTTACTAAAAAGGAGAGATAATTATGCAGAAATTATATAGAGAATTATGCACATATGCATGGTTTATAGCAGTGAGAAATTATAAACAATATACATGTCCTTTAATTGAGGATTAATTAAATAAATGATAGTTAATTTATACAATGGAATATTTTAGTTAATAAAATGCTCTATGTGTATTTACAGAGAGACTTAGATTTTCATTAGGTATTAAGATGAAAAAAAGCAAGAATGTATAGTATGATCTCATTTAATTTATTTAGGTTATTTTATTTTTCTTTCTGTTCTAAACTTTTTATTTGGTTCTTCTTTATATTTTCTATTTCTTTTCTGAGAGTATAGTTTTCATTTGTTTCAGGCAGGCTCATAACTGATTGTTCAAGATAACTGCTTTAAAATCTTTGTCAGATCATTATAATCTCTTTCATCTGGTATTGGCATTTTTAATAAAAAAAAACCCCGGATGTTTTCAGTATTATGTTATGAGACTATGGATTTTTTAAAAAAATAATCCTTACTTGAGGATTTTTTTTTATTGATTTTTAGGTAGAGTGGAAGGGAGGAAGGGAGGGAGAGAAGGAAGAGAGAGAGGGAGAGGGAGAGAGAGAGAGAAACATTGACATGAGAGAGACACATCATTTGGTTGCCCCCTGCACAACCCTGAGTGGGACTGGGGATCAAACCTGAGATCCTTCAGTCCTTGGGCTGATGCTCTAACCGCTGAACCAAACCTGCCAGGACAAGACTATGGATCTTATTTAAGCTTTCTAATTTAGCTGGCTTCTGAAAGGGAGCATGTGTACCTCCTTACTGCCATACGGGGTTAGAAGTCCAGGTTCCACATTTGTTCTCCATTGACACCCAAGTGGGTGCTCCTCCTAATTGCTGAGTATGGGGTGAGAGTTCTGGCTCCTCACCAGGTCTCCACTGATGCTTTCCTGGTTGGCAGGGATAGGACTGCCCTTTACTCTTCCCACATGGTCTCCACTGATTCTGCAGGGATCAGGTGTGTTTGTTGTGGTGGTCTATTACTACCTGGCTGGGATGAAAGTTCTGGCTCTCTACCTAGCCTTCGCTGACACTACCCTTTCGAGGGATTAGGGGGATTGGGGTGCCTTATTACAGCCTGGCGAGGTCTTTGCTGGTATGGGTGTGGATGGGGCTGCAATGTTTTCTGTGGTATTTGGCTGAAGTAGAGCAATTATTTTTTTTAAAGTTTCCTGTGTTGCTAGACTCTCTTTCCCAGTCCTTCATCTGCTAGACTCTTTTTCCCAGTCCTTCGTCTGCGCTCACTGGTGTTTCAGTGTTACTGACTTCTTTAGCTCTAAGTTTGGGTTATATAGGACAAAAAGAAACCCACAGAGCTCACAACTACATTGTTTGCTGGGTCTTGAGGTCTCTAACCAATCTGCTTTTCTCCACCTTTTTGGATTGTCTTATGTTTATTTTATATGTAACGTAGGGTTTTTAGTAATACTTAAGAGGAGAAATAGGGAAAAGTGTGTCTCTTCCATCTTCCTGGCAACAGAATTCCTGTCATTTAACTTATTTTTTAAAAGTTAATATCTATATATCTGATTATGCAGGAGAAAATCTATAATTCACAATAAACTGTTTATCAGTAGTTATCTCTGAGGAAGTAGATTGAAGAGCTTTATTTTATTTTTATATTGCCTAAATAAAATATGAATATACTCTCATTGTCTAAGAGACGGAAAATACAAATGTATAGAATAAAAGTGACACTCCCTTTTCAGTAGTCCCTTTTGTCCTGGCAAAGTTTGTGTGAAGCTTTCCTATCGTATTACTGTGTGTTTCTATACATAAATGTAAATAGATAGGCCTATGGTTACTTTTATTTATTTTTATGTAAATGAAGTGCCCTTATTTTATATACTTTCTCTTCTATGTGTTTGGGCATTTTCAGCTGGAAAGGATTATGTGGCTGGAAATTGCAATCATAAGTCTCTACATGACTCCAGGGCTGTTTGTATCTCATTCTCTTTCCCTTTGTTGTTAATCTGAGTCTACATTAATCCCAGATGTTTTGAATTTAATTTACTGTACTATTCTGTCAAAAGGGAAAAACCTTATTTTTGATAGTTTTCTGGTTTTGATGCTAAACAACATGAGTTTTTGAAGCCCAGTTATTTTTATGACTTCATTTATACATTCATACATGAGTATTCATTCAACAAATATTTGCTGAGCATTTAATATGTGCCAGACACCCTTCTAGGTGCTGAGAATGCAGCAACACAACAGACAAAATCTCTGTCTTTATGGAGTTAGGAATAGACAAAATAGTAAACTAGTATATAAAATGTCAGATGGTGGTAAGTACTATAGCGAAAAATAAAGCAAGGAAGAGGAATGGGACGAGTGAGTTTGCTAATTTTAATTAGGGTGGTCAGGGAAAGCATTGCTAATAAAGATGGCAATTGAAGGATGGTGAGAGAGGCAAACATACTCAAGCAACAGAAAGGAGGGTGGTGTGGCTGGAGTGGAATGAGAAAGTGAGAGTATGATTTAGAGATGATGTTAGAAACCATTGTGATCTTAACAGATTATAAAACCCTCGGGTTTTGCTTGGAATGAGTTTGGAAACTATTGGACAGTTATTTCAATAGGGAAGTGACATGATCTCACACAGGTTTTAACTATAACATTGAGAGTAGGTTCTGAGATGCGAAGGTAGAAAGAAGCAGGGAAACAAGTTAAGTGGTTCTTGTAATAATCCAAGAGAGAGTTATTGGTGACTTGTAC